TGCTTTCCATTCTCAAATACCTTCTCATGCAACATCTCACCCCGTGGCAGCCCCGCCCCCAACTCATTTAGCCAGTACAGCCGCACCAATCCCTCAGCATCTTCCTCCCACACATCAGCCAATTGCACATCATATTCCAGCCACTGCACCTCCAGCACAGAGACTTCATCCTCACGAAGTGATGCAGAGGATGGAAGTTCAAAGAAGGAGGATGATGCAACATCCAACGTATGTTTCATGTTTTTAAAAAGATAATCACACATTATTCCTTTTCCTTCTATTCCCATTGGTTTTTAAAACTATAAAATCATTAGAAGCAATGTAACTATACTAAACCACCAGTTCACCAGGTTATTCCTTACTAACCAAAATCTTCATCTGTCTTACCCTTAGTTGTAGGTGTTGACAAAACAAGTTTATGTCAGATTATTTAATGAAACTGAACCATTTTCAGGATATGACAAAGGGTCATTTAGTTTTGCAAACCAGTCTCTTGTTTCTTTTTTCAGTTTCCATAGTAAAGGTTAATGTTAAAATTGATGATCTTGAAGAACAAGATACAGTTCAGAAATATTTACTTTGATTTATTATATGTTACCAGCCAGAGGGAAGAAGAGTATTAGCATTTTTCAGCTGACATTCAAATGTCTTTTTTCAATGTCTTCTTAACTTAGTTTATTTATAAATTTAAATATTACTGTATTACCTAAACATGGAAACACTATAACTGAACTTTTTGCTTTCTTTTGAAAATGAAGAATCTGATTTTCTACTTCAGGGCAGCAAATTCTGTTGTTCATAGTCTGCCTGCTTATTTTTGTAAATAAAATTCTACAGGAAAACAGCTACCCTTGTTCATTTATGTATTGTCTGTGGCTTCTTTCACTTTATGAAGACTAACGTGAGTAGTTACAAAGATTTAGTAACTACTTAGTACTACAAAGACTAAGTTGAGCATGGCCTATAGAGCCATCAATACCTAAGTATTTGGCTCTTACAGAAGTGTTTGCAAATCTCTTGAACTAATTAATGATTTACTACTTGTGTGACTTCTTCCTTTAGTTGTATAAGTTATGATTATATCCATAATCTCTGGTTTTTGTTGCCATTGTAATATAGTAACCCTTTATATAGAAAGTTGCCAATGTAACATTAATATTTTCCGGTATCTAGAAGATTACTTGTTCTAAATGGTTAAGGTTAAACGTGCAGTAGTAAACACAGTGTTGCTCATGTGAAACCTGAGCATAAGATTGTATATTAATGATACACTAAAAAAATAAAAAAAAGATTAAACATGCAAAATCTGAAAACAGGTTAGAAGCTAATAGAAAATAAGAAGTAGACTATAAAAGTAAATCACTGGAACTTTTTTTTTTAAGTACTCTTTGTTTAGAACTCTGCTTATATTTGAACATTTGACTGACTCTAGAAAGAGAAAATATATTAAGCTGGAAGACAGAATAAAGAGTGTGAATGGAACTAATATCAGTTTCCAGATGTGGAACCTCTTTTTGCATGTGTTTGAAAAAAATGCACAATGTTAAAAATTTTTTCTGTTAAAAGATTTATCTTTTAAAATGGGTGAATGTTACTACAATATAAAAGTAAAGCAAAATAAAATACTTCCATTTTCCTGCCTTATATGTTTATAGAAATATCTTACTTGTTCCTATAGCATTTGCTGAGGTATTTAATTTTTAAAATTTTATTTCCATTCAAATTCCTATTATTTTATTTAAAACATCTGCTGTAAAGAAGGTATATAGGAAAACATTCAAATTGCCTTTTTCCTTGGAAAAATTGAATTGGAGGTATTGTAAGAAATGAGCAGTGAGAATTGAGAATTTGTGGGGTTATGATTTCCTGATTTATTAATCATTAACTATCTTACATTTTTATAATTGGTAATTAGAGAGTGAATTTCATGACTGATCTATAGATGTTTGTAATATTAATACTAGGTTATTTTTTTCTACCTTAAGAAATAACCAATTGTTCAGTTATTTCCGGTGGTCTTTCTGTTTCCAGGCGGGCACATGAGCGCCCCCCACCTCACCCACACAGGATGCACCCAAACTATGGCCATGGCCATCATATTCATGTGCCTCAGACTATGTCCTCACATCCTCGACAGGCTCCAGAGAGATCTGCCTGGTCAGTATCTTGTCTGTTTCAGCGATATGCCCAGTAACTTGTGGTCAAACTGCCAGAATCAATGCTTTATAGTGGAATGCCATCCAGGACGGTGCTGTGGAGAAACTGAATTCAGCTTAGGTGTGAGGCACTGCCTCTGGGCAAGTTACAGAGACCTGGGGAGGAAATAGTAGGAACTTGAATTCTGGGGCAGGGGGCCATGTCACACAGGAGTACGGTGTTCTGTTGTCCTTCAGGGGTGTCTACCATTAAAGCCAGCTCCCTAAATAGATCCTACTTTTCACAACCCCTTTATACACCCTCCCCGTTCTTAGACTCAGATTGACTTCCTGCCTCTAACCCTGGCTACTGACAAGGGAAAACCAGCTTGGGCTTCCTAGTCTGACAGTCTTTACTAGAGAAATAGAAGCAGATGTGCATTAACTTTCTACAAAATTCATTTTCTCAAGTCATTGAGATCTTGGTCCACCGTAGCTTCTGAGGCAGAACATAAAATGAGAATAAATAAATGGAGATTTGACATTTACCAGGTTTACTCTTTATAACATTTTGTTTACCCTTGCCTTGTAAGGCACAGATGTGTTTGTTGTTGTAATTATCTTTGAAGCCAGCAACCCAGAGACACTATTCAACAAAGAAAAGTCTTGGGAGCATCTGTAACATTCACATAAACAAACAAACAGAAAAACCTTCTAATTTGTGTTCTCCTCAAGTAGAATCAGACTTTTAGATTGGAAGGAACCTGTTCATTTTGTTTCCTTTGTAAGATGTGAATGAAACTCAGTACAGTTGCTTTGCTCCTTGTAATTACAAAATTGAATTTTTGAGTTTTAATTTCTGAAATGAATTTGAGATTTTTTAGTTAAATCTTAGGGTCTAAATGATCTTTGTCTCAGCTGTGTAAGTTAAGAAGCTTTAGGTAACTTTAAAAAGTGTATTTAAAAAATTTCTGTTGATTATCGTAAGACACTGCAGAGATGGTTAAAAGCTAAGCGTTCTCCTCCTTTGTCAGGGACCTGGGAATTGAAGCCGGAGTGACTGCAGCTGCTTATACACCTGGAGCTTTGCATCCCCACTTGGCCCATTACCATGCACCACCTCGACTTCATCACTTACAATTAGGAGCTCTTCCTTTAATGGTAAAATAAAAACGTTTCAAAATGCTGAAATATTCTTCTTCTTAAGAGTACTCTTTTTCTAAATTATTTTATTGGAAATATTCTTAATGTATTAGTTATAGGTGTTTTAATAGAATTTGAGAATTAGTAAATGGAAATTGCGCTATAAAAAAGGTATTAGATATATTAAAATCTGTATTTGTATTGCATTGTGAAATGTACTGTATTTTTCTCTCTTTATAAAAGTTTTTTCTTTTGTACCAAGACACCAGTCTTGACCAACTGTCAGTGGGACATGAGCTTGATTTTCTCACAAGTGGTAATGGGTCTGTTCCTATGCATTTCTGCTTTACTGATGTGCCACAGGACTATATTCATTATATCTGATTTGAACAGATTCACATTTGGTAGATAACAATATAAGGTGTAAATGTATTGAGTTTGTTATTCATAATACATATTAATTATAAAAGTAGTACAGAGAAGGGAGTGGCTTAGTCTTGTGGAGGTAGAGGTACTGTAGGAAAGGCTTCCAAGATGCTTTATTATGCATGTGACTTCTCAGCAGGTTTTGGAATTGAGAATGACGCTCTTGCAGTGATTACAGCATGTTAAGAGATCTCAAATAACATAAACACAAGCAACTGCAAATAGGTTGGTATTTCTGGATCTTAGGAATGGGGATCACTCAGCAATAAGAAATAAAGCTGCCCTGCCAAGAAACTGGGACTCAGGAACCATTGAAAGCAAAATGACTTGGTCTTATTTATGCTTCTGGAGTGATTTAATGAGATTGTAGTTAGAAAGGCCACCTCCTCACTTGTTTGGAAAAATAGATTTCAGGGTGAGAGGCTGGAAACTAGTTCAGACATAGGAGAAGTTGATGAACGCCCTCACAAGGACAATGGCAGTTGGCGTAATAATGATGAGACACATTTGAATGGTATTTAGGATGATTCCTAGATTTCTAGCTTGGTGCCTTTCACTGAGTTGCAGAGTATTAGATTATGGTTTAGGGAAGAGGTTAGGTGAGTTAGGTTTTAGACATGCTGAATCTGTGGTAAGTGGGTATCAAGGTGAAATGTCCAGTAGGAATTTAAGTGTACAGTCTGTACCTCAAAACTATAAACTGATACCTGAGTTAAAGATATGTTGTGATTTGTCAATATATATGAGCCACATACTGTCATAAAATACAAATCTATGGAAGAGGATTAGATTGCCAGAAAAAAATTTAGAGACTGACAAATTGAAAAAAACTTGGAGAGTGATAACACTGTATCTAAAAGATAATACTGTTCTTCAAAGAAAGGATTCTGAGCACAGGCTAGAAAAATTGAGAAGAAACAAAATGAGAATAGTGTCAAAATAATATGGTCATTAGTGTCTCACCACAAAAATACAAAGTTTGAAAAACGTTGAATGCATTAGAGTGGTTATTGGTGAAGGATGGGGATGGTGTCCCCCTCAGATTACAGGGAGGAAGGTAAAAATGTGGGAACAGTGAATATAAACTACTTGCTTTATAGGCCTGGCTGTGAAGGGAAAGCAGGAAATAGGGCTGGCAGTCATTCCAGGATTAAGAAGATAACAGTTTTGGGTAAACTTGAAGCTATGTTTAGGCTTAAGACAGAACATTAGGAGAGGATGCAGAAGCGAGAGGTGGGTAAGTCGTAGATAATGAAGGATGACAGGGGCTGGAGAAACTGGAGGAGACGGAGCAGGTGGTAGGAGATTAACTTTGAAGAGGACAAAGAGGAAGCTTATCCACGGTAGCCAGAGGAAGGGGGCTAGGGAGGGTTACAAGGTTAAGTGTAGATTTAAATAATTTGGAGGGGCAGGAGTTCCTTTCTGGTTTCATTTTCCTTAGAGATACGTGGAAGGCTGTGTGGTCTATCTGCTGAGAACTGGTAGTATGAATCTTGATTGTAAGGAAAGTTGCAGATTTTTAAATAACATGCTATTTGAAGGTTAAAAGTTATTGCTCACTTAAAATTCTTTTCCACATATGAAGTGTCTTTTCAAGCTAAACCTGCACAAGTATGTTATAATTCAGTGAAAGCTTATTAAAAGTAAGTTAGGAGATTTATTTATAAAGATGGAAAAATGGTACTCTATCCCAGAATCTCCCTTTCTTAATACAGTTGGCTCTGTTATTCACCATAATTATGACCAATAAGCTGCTGTGAACACTGAGTAAGAAGTAGTGAGCCATTATCTGTAGGGTAAATGCATGGATGGGTTACTGCAAGCCTCTGGTCACAGTCACCAGTCAGGATGTAACCTTGTTTTAATTTGTATTTGTTTAAAGGCACCTTCCTATATATATATATATATATTGTTGATTCGCTAACATGGAGCTCGTGACCAGCACCATCACTCACGCCATATGAAGCTTATCTGCACATATATTTTCCATAAGTCACATCACAGTCTTGCACTTAGGAGCACTAAGCACTTATTAAGCATTATGTTTGGTGGCCATTTTAAACAACAAAATCACCAATGAAAAGCACAAAAGTGTGAAAAATGGGACTAAAACAGACCATTTGACATTTGTTTATAGTGTAAGAGCTGAAACTAGAAGGCAGAATTGTTCTACTTCAGCTGCAAGCATGCCCAATGGGCAACTCACATTTATTTCAGCTCTGTGCATGTCCACAAATGACAGTGTGAGTACAAGTACTGTTTTTGGAATTACAAATAAATTTGTTCAAGTAGGCAAATTCACAAAGGATATGTGAATAATGAGAATTGACCATACCTGACAAAAAATTAGAAAATACTGTTAAAACTTTCACTAACAGAACCAAACAAAAACAAAGGAGTGGGGTACCTTTAGTTATTAGGGAGTTCGAGGAAAGGAAATAAAACTTTTATCTTGGAGTTAAATTTTGTTGGAAAATTCTGTGCATTTTTATTCCTTTATGCTGTTTAATAAAGCTCTCTGAAATTAATAAAACCTTATGAAAATGTTATTCTTGATATATTTAGACTACTAAGAGCAGCAGCCTTAAGTTTGGGAATTTTCTGCTTAATTCTTAGCAAAATAAATCAAACAGAAGAAACCTGTTATGGAACAGTTATTTCTTCTTTTTCTTATGATTATATTTTAAGAATTATTACATAAGATTATATTTGAAGAGGAACCTAACTCGGTTACAGAATGCTTAGAGTTATGTATATTTACTGAAGTTGAATTTTGTGAGTTGCTGAATGGAGAGAATTGAGTGTCTGGATTATTCCATGTTAACAGTCAAACTTGAGCTTACTCTTAATTGATTTAGCCATCTCTTCTATTACAATAGGTTCCTGACATGGCAGGGTATCCTCACATCCGATACATCTCATCAGGATTGGACGGAACATCATTCAGAGGTCCTTTCAGGGGCAATTTTGAGGTCTGTAATAAAGTTAACACATTTAACATATTTTCCATAGTATCTTTAATGCAGAGAGAAATAATATATGTATTATTAGTATTCACAGTTGTATAAGATTGTCACTGTGGCGGGGATCAGAAGGCAGTAAAGTATCTCGATTTCTGATGCTGCTTCTGGAAGTTATTACAGAAAGTCTTATTCATAAGCAGTGTTGATCTTAGTGTCAAATGTTACCAAGTATTTAAAGTGAAGAATAAGTGAAAATATCTAATATAAAAATATATGAATTTATTTATGTCAGATAAAGAGCCATATGATTACATGTGGGGGAAAAAATCTTAAAGCTTCTAAGTTCAATTTTAAAGAAATACTGCTGGAAAAAAAGGAACCTAAGTAATTCAGTTTGTAGCTAAATATCTTCTTGTTTGAATTTCCAGGAAGAACAAGGCATTTGAATATGATTTAAAATTTCATTTTGCTTCCTCATGTCAGTTTCGAAGTTGCAGTCAGCAGGACTTTGAACTGTTTGATTTGTTTTCTATTTCATGACAATGATTTCCTCTTCTACCTGCTTCCTGGCTGATCACATACCGACACTGACGTAGTGCTGTGTGGTGATACGTTTCCCTGACCTGTAAGGGTAACTTTTCATACCACTTCAGTTGGCTGAGAAAAGAATTACAAACAACCATCTGCCTTAACATATTGCAAACATTGTATTTATATTGCAGGTATAGAAATATGGAGTTTTATTGCTTTTACATTCTTGACAGCGCGATTCAAGGAATAGTCATCCTGGCTTTTAATACTAGTTATTCTTCACCTTCAGGAACTGATACATTTGGAAGAAAGATTAGGAAATGTCAATCGTGGAGCATCCCAGGGGACAATTGAAAGATGTACATATCCACATAAATACAAAAAGGTAAGAATTTATTCTGTGTAATGCCTACCTTATTATTGAAATACATAAGATTTAGTGTTATGAATTTATGGAGTCTAGCCAACTACATTATTGCTAAAACAACACATGCATACGATTAAAAAAAATTGAGTGTGAAAATATATATTATGAAGTTTCTTACCCTGATGACCCGAGTTTTTCTTCCCATAAGAAAAATCATAGTTAAGGCTGTCTTAGGTATTCTACATATTTTTGCACATTAATAAAGTACATATGTACATATTTTCCCTTCCACCTTTAAAAATAACACAGAGGTTGCTAAATGCACAGATTTTGAAAATTGTGTTTTCATTCTGTATCAGCATCCACATGCCACCCATATTCTTTTTAATAACTTATACTGTAATTCAACTGGCCACTTATTTTGACAATCATTTAGTTGATCTACATTTCTTACATTGTGCCCTCAATTCCTTATACAGTATTATTTATAGAAGTTGTGCAATAGACATGTTAGATTTCTTTCAACAAACAACTATGCTATGAAGAGACTAATAATAATAATAAAGTGTGAAAAATCACTGTATTTTTCATCTGTTTCCTACAAGTATTAAAGAGGTATAACCACTAAATTTAAGTCCTTTCAGTTGTCTAAGCCAAAGACTGTCATTAGATTAATTTATTTCAATGTTAATTTGAAAATTCATTAGTAAAGGCTATGTTCATGATGGGACAAAAAGAGAGTTTGTATGTGTATCATCCTAATTGTGTATTAAAAACAGTAGATTTCCAAGTAATTAGTTACATTTAATTGTCATTTAATTAAAAGACAAATTGTCTTCTCTAAATCTTGCAGAAAGGAGAATTTGACAGGCTTTGGAGGCTGAGACTGTTAAATTACAGTATTCTCCAAAGCTAAAGTGGGGGATCTCAGTTAACTCCATGCAGTGTTTTATAGCATCTTTTCATAAATTGATTTTGTCCTAAAATTTCCTCTCATTTCTTGGGACTATTCAGTTCTTACAACTTTACAATTTAGAATGTTATGCTAACCTAACATTAATTTTAGGTATTTTCTTTTTATTATCTCTTAAGTAATTATTTTACACATGTTCTGCTTTTATCTAAAGGAACATAATCCCATGTCTTATTTTAAGTATTATCTTAAAATAATACTTAGTTGAAAATAGTCATTTAACTTAACCATTAACTCATCACAGTTATACCTGGGAGATAAGTTGTGGGACAATGTATAGTTTTGTTTTGTATTGTTTTTCAAATAAACAGACTTTACTCAGTTGTTCAATAATGTCATCTCTACTAACAAGGTAACAACTGATTGGTTCTCACAGAGGAAACTGCACTGCAAACAAGATGGGGAAGAAGGGACTGAGGAAGACACAGAGGAGAAATGTACTATCTGTTTGTCTATATTAGAGGAAGGTGAAGATGTGAGGTAACTAGACATTAATTATCTAAAACCCATTGTCAAAACTGTAAATGAGATTTTATGTGAAAGTAGACTAGAAGCCACATAAAGATCACTCCTGGCCTATCCTGTTACCAATCTCTGATGTGTAGAGAATTGCCTTCCTATAGTGAGTGAAAGAAAAAGATTGAAGTCTCTGTAGTGCTAACATTGGGTTGGGATGGGAAATATACTTGGGCAGGGAAATTTTGTGGTCAAGTTGTCTTCTCTAAATCTTGCAGAAAGGAGAATTTGACAGGCTTTGGAGGCTGAGACTGTTAAATTAATGTATTCTCCAAAGCTAAAGTGGGGGAATCTCAATTAACTCCATGCAGTGTTTTATAGCATCTTTTCATAAATTGATTTTGTCCTAAAATTTCCTCTCACTTCTTGGGACTATTCAGTTCTTATAACTTTACAATTTAGAAAATGTTATGCTAACCTAACATTAATTTTAGGTATTTTCTTTTTATTATCTCTTAAGTAATTATTTTGCACATGTTCTGCTTTTATCTAAAGGAACATAATCCCATATGAAACTATAACATATGTAAAGAACCATATACTAATTTTGTTGCCCTAATTAATAGGGTAACTTCATGATACGTCTTCAGTTGGCTGAGAGAGAAAAAAAATTATAAACATTTGTCTGCAGTACCACATATAGGTTATTTGAACACTGTATTGCCAGTGAAGTTTATAAATATGGAAGCTAACTTTTCTTACAGTAGTGGCCATACTGTTCAAAGAGTAATTGGAGCATCTCTTTTTAGCTATCACTGGGAAGTCCAAAAATGTGTGACAGCTCTTAGCAGTGGAATAGAAATGGATACTCCTATCCCACTCCTGACTTAGATGTACCCTGTATTGCTTAGATGCCTTCTTTATTTCTCAATTGCTAAGTGATAACTTAGTATCATATACCAAAGTAAACATCTCCTTTTAACCTGCTTTCTTTCCCATTAATCAATTACTTTTTATTGAGATATAATTGACACATATTAGTTTCAAGTGTACATGATATTGGATATTGCAAATATATTACAAAATGGATTAAACTGTTTTTAAGAAAAGAGTACCATAGTATTAAGTGGCTATAACAGTTACCCATAAAAGCCTTATTATTAACCTTCAGTCAATCTATACTTTATAAAGATCCTCTAGATAGAAAATAATATTGCATATAAGATTTCTTAATTAGTGTGATTAGAACTCATGCTAGAATAATGCGAGTTCTAATATTTTTTATAAAGAAATAGATATATTTTTAAAGTGTTTCACAAACGTATTTGATAGTAAAAAAATATATTTTTGCAATTTTGTGTAACAGGGAACATACTGCCAACTCAGCACATTGGCAGCTCATGTATACAAACAAAACTGGAATAATTGCCAGTTAAAGTCCTTGAGGTTTTACATGATTTGGTTCCATAGCTGAAACAGTTAATTATCTTGGGTATTTATACCTTGATTTGCCCAGTGTTGATTTAATATAGGTGTAACTGTCATTAGAGAGGGAGGTTGTTTAATGTTTTTACAGAAAAAAGAGATGTCTGGTAACTATGAAACACTCCTGAATTATTACAGTTATACCATGTGCAGTTGTCATAAGATTAATTTTTTGCTTTTTGTTGTGTTTGCCTATAATAGACGTCTTCCTTGTATGCATCTTTTCCACCAAGTATGTGTTGACCAATGGCTGATTACCAATAAGAAGTGCCCCATATGCAGAGTGGACATTGAAGCCCAGCTGCCAAGTGAAAGTTGACACCGTGTTTCAGAACTGTTGCCCTCCCTCTCATTCCCACCCTCCTGGTACTGCAGTCAACCAAAGATGGCATGACTTACCTGCGCAGATTTGAAGGCTTGAACTTAGAGTGCTGGCTCTGCTATATGGTACAACTAATGCTAGACCTACAGTTTATGTATACAATTGATTTTGATGTATTTATAAAAGCTTCTTTTTTCTAGATTTGACATTTTTCCTTTATCATTTTACTGTATTTTTGCATGGTTCCTTGTATTGCATTTCTTTGCACATATTATGGGCTTGTGACCCTAAACTTGCAGGCAAGATTAGCTGCTTTAGTAAGTAGAAATTTGTGGTCTTTTTGTTTTTTACATAGTACCTGGTCTTGAGAATTATGAATTATGAATTTTTTTATCCATTACTAACCTTTAATTTAATCAGTCATGTACTTTAGTTTACTGTATAAAAATCCTCTAGAAAATGATAATATTGTGTATTAAGACATTCCTTAATTAGGACAAAATGGCTGCTGCATATTTACAACATGAATTTCTGAAATAAATACCATCCTTAATACTGGGAACAGAATACAAACCATATTCAGTTAGATGCCAGTGGTATTCACATCACCAGAGTGATCAATAGAAATTTTCTTGGTGTATCCTTTTCCTTCAGCACAATGCAGATAGAGTTGAATATCGATATCATACATTTAGACTGCTGTTCTGATTGTATTTATCTTTTTCCTATGTAACTTAGAAGTCTATTTCCCTAATTCAATTTTTGCTGCTGTAAAACAGCTCTGATGAACACTAAATATTAATTTCAATTAGCTGGATTGTACACACTTGCAGATTCAACAGAATCTTAGGGAAATTGAAGAAGACATGTAGAATTTTGTTCAGTCTCCTACTAAGCATGTACAGTAAAGATTTCTGCTTACATCAATTTTGTTAAACACATTCAGCCAGGATTTAGAATTGCAGTCATTGGCAGGTATCTATGCATTCATAGAACTTCTAACGATCCCAAGATAACTTTTAAGGGATTTTTTTATTAGCTTAAAGATAAATAAAGTCAGCTGAATCTACATGTCTCTTGTTTTATTTCTATTTAAACTTGAAAACAGTAAATCTGCAGATACTGTGAGGCACAAATATACAGTCAACCTACTGTTGCTCTGGTTTTAGACTCCAACTTCATACATTACCAAGGGTCGATCACTGGTAAAATTTTTAATTTCTATAGTTAAGATTTACTGCCTAATATAGACTATAAAGTTAAGTTAACATACTAACATTTCTCCTTTGGAGAAAGTTTTAATCCACTTCAGGATGCATATTATCAAGATACTTTCATATACAGGATAGCCTAATTTTATTTGTCTAAATATGCTTAATATGCCCCAGATTGCAAATGCATCAGTCAGTAACATCGCTGTCTGTCTGTGGGAGACATGTTCCCATGGGTCATGTGTGAAGATGTCATGAAGCTTGCATTAAGCCGCCTGCTTTGTAAGTGGATTGATTAATAAATAACTTATATTTCTATTGTCTTTGTGTTTCATAATTAGTTTTTATACAACAGTTTACATTAAATATCTTGGAATTCAAAAATAGTGATGTCCAGTTGACATGTGCATAATTTGGTGTTTGTATTCATTCAGTTATGGCAGCTTGACTTTTTTTTGTATTTGTAAATGTTACACTGTAGTAATTGTCAGTATCAACATGATTCGACATAGTGTATGTAGAGATGGAGTACAGCTACTGTTAAGTAATTGTTGGATAACATTTTTTAAAAGAACACTCAAAGAAGCTACAGTTGTAGAGGGTCAGGAGGGGAGACAGAGAGACGGGGGAGAGAGATCCATGTCTGCCACTGTACTGGGGAAAGAGAGGGTTGTCGGACTTCACCACTGGAAAACCCAGGGCCTGTGCCAAGGGATTTAAGAAACATAAGATGGGGAGAATTCTATACAATGCAGTCCTCTTGATGTTCCTCAAAACACAAGTACAGATAGATTTCTCTGTTTTTTAATATCACATCAAATTTAGATGCATGACTACCTGTTGACTTGTTTAATAATTGCTACTGATTTTTTTCATATAGATAAAGCATCATTACCTTAAAATATATTAATACAAGTACTTGTGATATAAACCTGAATGGTCAATGCAGGAGCTTATTAAGCTATTGCAGTTAATTATAGAAAAAGTGTGATTAATGAATGAACCATTATTAATAGTGAACCAAGGCAGGAAGAAAATAATTTTTTAATATTTTCACTTTTTCTGCTTTGTGTCTGTCACATCCTGCTGCATCTTATGTCAAAATGAAAATTGCAGTGACAGCTGTCCAAATACTTTCAAAACTAAAATTCTTTTGTCAGAAAATTCTTACTTTTATTGTTGCCTATATGCAAGTGATAAACTGATATTTGAAACATTTTTCTTATTCTGGTGACTTTATTTTAGCTGCTTGCATTCTTCATCATTTGAATCATGACGTTTTGACATATATAAAACTAGCTCTGTTTTGAAATGGTATTTATAACACTGAAATTAAATCAACTCTAGGACAGTCATTATTAGTTTCTCATAATTGAGAATAGTTTAATTCTGTAGGTAATACATCCTAATGTAATGATTTCTAACTTATATTCTAAAAACTCTGGAAACACGGTAAATTTTCTTGCTTATTCGAGACTTCATCTGTCACAGTATTGGATATATCAAGGTTGAAATGTCCCCTTTTAATTACAGTTATCAATCATTTTCTTCAATTAAGAATTATGTCCAAAACATTTTTTCACTAAAAAAAAAAATTACCAGTTTTGTGGTTGGGCCTGCAGGGGACAATCTCCTCTGTGTCCTTTGTATTCTGTACAGATTCATTGGCCACACAACAGATTTTCATGAAAATAATATGGGTTTTGGTGTGGGACAGACTGGGGCTTTGAATTGTAGTTGTTTGAACAACTTAAGCTTTCTGAGCCTCACATGTTTAAACAACTTAAGCTTTCTGAAGCTCATCTTTCTCATCTGTAAAGTAAAAATAGGTTGTTATTAGAGTTAAGTGAGATAATGAGTATAAGAGCCTTGCATATAGTATGTAGTAAAGAATGTAAGTTTTCCCAATGCTCACTCCCTCCCGCGCACGCCCTAAACACCCCACAGATCAGTGTTTGCTGCTTATCTTTTCTCCCATGGAGTCCAGCCAACTAGTAATTAGATAAGAAGGAACAGTCTGCCAGCTGTTCTCCGATGGGTGGGAATCTCCAGTGGAGGGACGGAAGATGGCCAGCCCACGCCTTCTCTCCTCACAGAGCAGTCACAGCAGGGGCACGACTGCCCGATGATACCACCTGGGCTGTGTTTTCGGCGACTCCTGCGGCTGGATCAGAATTGGCACGGGGTAGGAAACCATTTGGGGCCCTCTCTGACCTAAAAGAAAGTTTATGGGGAAATTAACAACTAGAATTTATCATTCTTTCCTAATTTTAATCCTCACCAAATTGTGCGAGATGCCCATTAAGGGTTGGTTCAGCACACATCGGGCTGCCTGGGTTGTATTAGCTGCTTCTAGGCTTATTAAACTGAGGCGGGAGCAGGTGTGGGGGTCTGGGAGAAGCTCTGTGATCAGCTCAACAAATGGCACTTCTCTTTTCATCCTTTGTCATCACTACCGAGAGTGGACTAGATTCACTAAGTTTCCATTTTTGTTGTGGGCTCTGCTGAATCTTGAGTATAAACTGCTGAATCAGTTTTGCTTTAGGGGATAATATTCAGTATGTGTGTTGGGAAAATCTCCGGAAAATGGAAAATGCTACAAATTGTTACTGACACATTGTGTTCTCGAAAGGAAGAACCTGGTTTCTGCCATTGACTGTGTGGCTGGTAGCACAACTCAGGACATTCAGATTTCCATTCTAGCAATTCAGGTTTGACCCAGAGACCCTCCCCTCTCACATATCTGGCATTCCTCTCTAATATGGGACACTCCAAACCTGTTATCTTAGGGATTCTTTTAAGATTCTCAAGAGCCTTTGTAAGAAAAGTGTTTGACAAGGGAATTGGAAGAGAGGTGGTAAGACTCCCATCTACTGCATCCCAGCTTGCCTTTAGAAAGCAATGAATGCCTTTCATGAAACTGCTCTCTAGATACATTGCTAATTATTTGCTCAGAGAGTAACTTATGGTATATCTGGGTTCTTAGAACATCACTGTTAGCCACATACTCCCCAAACTTTTATATTATCTATTGCTGTGAAATAATTATCTGTTGCTTTGTAACTTTAAAACTCAGTGGCTCAGACATCAAACATCTTTGTTTCTGTGGGTCAGGAATTTAGGAACAGCTTAGCTTGCTGCTTGTGGCTCAGGGTCTACCATGAGGTTACAGTCAAGATGATAGTGAGGGTTGCAGTCGTCTGATCCGGGTCTGGCTGATGGGCGTCTGAGCTGATTCACTCACATGGAAGTAAGAAGGCTTCCTTATTGGCTGTTGGCCAAGAGACCTCACTTCCCTGTTATGAGGTCTTCTCCATAGGGCTGCTCAAATACCTTCACAACAGGATAGCTGGCTTCCCCAGCAAATGATCCCAGGGAGAGTGCAAGGAGGAAACCACAATGGCAGTTTTCATCTATTATCTAGAAGTTAGACTCCCTCACTTCTCCCACATTCTACTCATTAGAAGCGAGAGTCACTAAATACAGCCTATACTCAGAAGTTGATTAGGGTTCACCATTTGAAGGAAGTATAGCAAGAATTTGTGTGCATATTTTTAAAACACCACAGTAACTCTCTTATCCCCTATGTCAAGACCCAGTCTCCAGATACCTGGACTTCTGTGGCCAAAAATTCTATCAGACTGGCTTCGGTGCTCTCCAGGGTTCTCGGTTACATCAGATTCATGGTTCAGCACCAAAGCTACTGTGCCCTCAGGGGCCACCCGAATGCCAAAACATCTGGAAATGGCTCAGGCACTCAAGTTCCCAATGAGAAAAATCGTCCAGAAATAACACTATTGAGAATTCAGAGTTTACAAATAATTATAAATCCTAGCCACTGTGCTATGTTTTCTGAGACTGATAGGAAGCCAGTAAGATACAAGACTATTCCAGCAAATGAAAAGACTTACTAGGTATAAGGATAAGGAATGCCCCAGGCAAGTGTATCTGTTACTTCTTGTGTAACAAAGCATCCAAATCTTACTGGCTTATCTATTTGCTCATAGTTGTACAGTTTGGGCGGGAATAGTTTCATCTCTTAGTGTGGTATGCCTGATGTCCTTGTGTGGCTGCATTCAGCTGCAAGCTCTACTGGCATAGACTGCCCAGTATGGCCTCCTTCAGATGTCTGATGCTTCAGCTGGGATGGCTGGGTCAGCTGAGGACCCATGAGGCATTTCTCCCTAGTGAGTTCTAGCTAGACCTCTTTACATGGTGGCCCAAAATGTCAATAAAGAAGAAACTGCCAGGCGTGTAACTGGCACAGCATCATTTGTGTCATATTCTGTTAGTCAAAACAAGTATTGAGGCTAGCCCAGATTCAAGGGGAGGGGAGATAGACTCCACCTGCTACAGTACTGGCAGCAAATAAGTTGTGGCCATCTTTAACCTACGACAGGGAGGTAAAACCAGCCCCATTGCTTTGTTAGAATTCCTAATACAAACTTCCTTAACACATCTCGTTTCCCCCACTCACATACCCCAAACCATAGTTGAGTATATGGGGAAGCCATGTGTGCACAGTCATCTATATTCTGCAGTATAATTACAGAGGAATCAGTTCTGGAGGAACTTTAACTTTCATATGCTGATATTTGAGAAAAAGAAACTTGCAGGATGAAAGTCGCTATGTATTTCTGCTCCTGTGACTGCCATATCTTTGTGTAATTCAGAACTTCTTTCTGCAGTACATGGATGAGTATTGTGATGGTTTTTTTTAAATTTACTGTCTTCCCTCCTTTTTATTAAAATATAATTCATATATTCGACCAGTTAGTTACAACTCAATGATTTTCAGTATATTCACAGAGTTGTGCATCCATAACCTCAGTCAACTTTAGAGTATTTTCATGAGCCCCCCGAAAAAATCCCACATCTCTTAGCCATTGTGATGATTTTTTTTTCCATGAGCTTTCACTTCTTTATTTTTTATTTTTTTGGAAATTTAAACAAAAAAAAAATATTTTTTCCTATTATGTAGGCAAAACATTTTTAACTGATAGTATCTGGTACTGAAAAGGATGTGGGAGAATGTGTGCACTGTTTTTAGGGTGGTGATTTTTTTTTTTGAGAGGGCATCTCTCATATTTATTGATCATATGGTTGTTAACAACAATAAAATTCTGTATAGGGGACTCAATGCACAATCATTAATCAATCCCAAGCCTAATTCTCAACAGTCTCCAATCTTCTGAAGCATAACGAACAAGTTCTTACATGGTGAACAAGTTCTTACATAGTGAATAAGTTCTTACATGGTGAACAGTGCAAGGGCAGTCATGTGATGATTTTTTATGTGTCCACTTACCTGCACGTGGGGACGCCCAGACCTTTGGTCAAACGTTATTCCGGGTATATCTGTGGTGGTGTTTCTAGATGAGATTAA